CCCCAAAACCCCAAAACCCCAAAACCCCAAAACCCCAAAACCCCAAAACCCCTTTTAATATGATTCTGGTTGATGAAAACTTTTTCGTTAAAAAAATTTAAATCTTTCTTATTTTTCAGCCTTCTCTGGGCTCTTCTTTATTTCATCCTTTACTTCTTTTTCTTGAGGTTTTTCCCCTCTCTCTTTCGGTCTTCTATCATTTACTTTCTGATATGGATCTCTATCTCCAAGTCTGATACGGCCATGCTCACCGTCAAAATCTCTTCTATCTTCGAATCTGAAATATTTTCTATTTCCTGCTCTGAAATGATCTTGGTGATGCTCATGAGCACCTCTGATTTCTCCATACCTAGCTCTTTCAAAGTCTCTCTCAACTCTATATCTGTTGTAAGGAAGATATTCTTCATTATTTGGAGCATGCTGATAATTATAGTTATGTCTATGACGGTATTCTCCACCTCCTCTCAGTTCTAACTCATAGGGAGAATAGTATTTTCTGTTGGGAATTTGATATCGATCATCTTTTCCAAATCTATCACCATACAATCTATGATCATTCATCTCATGTCTAGCCTCTTTGTGATCTCTGTCAACTCTTTTGGCTTCATATCTATGAGCCTCATTTCTGGGGTCAGGGTACCTCTTTCCTTCTTGTTTATAGTCTTCTCTTCTATGATCTTCGTGTCTAAAGCCTTCAAATCTATGACCTTCATGAAGATGTCTTTCAGGTCTAAACCCTTGGTATCTGTGACCATTGTATCTAAATTCTCTAGCATATCTGTATCTGTCACCTTCATCTAAGTTTTTTGAGTCTCTGTTTTCTCTTTTTTCTTCTTTCTTTTCTCTCTTTTCCTCTTTCTTTTCTTCTTTTCCGCTGTCATCTTTGTCTTGTTTTCTTTCTTCCCTTTTTGGTGTAGTTTCTCCGTGAGCACTTTCTCTACGGGGTTGGTAAGGCCTATCTCTGTAGACATCTCTGAGATCTGCCTTGTAATCCATCCTCTCTCCGTAATATCTTCTATCTCCTGCTCTGGAATAGTGTGGCTTAACTCTGAAGTCAGAATCGAATAAGGGGCCACTTGCTCTTGAAAAAGTAGTCTCTCTGATAAATCTATCATGAGATTTGATTCTTGGCATGTTTCTCCCATAGAGGTGGTTCATATCGTGATGAGGAGCAGGTCCGTTAAATTCAAATCTTCTCAGACTGCTTTGTCTTTGATACCTTGGCACATACTCTAATCTCTCACAAGGGTGCATCCAGTTTTGATGCATCCTTTTATCGTCTTGTTCTCTTTGTCTTTGATAGTCTCTGTAATATCTATCTCCCTTCTTTTCTTCTTGCTTGAACTCTCCTCCTAGATTTCTTTTTATCTCCTCTTTAGCACTGAATGGTCTTTGTCTATAGTCAATATGTCTGGCAAATTGATCGTCTCTATTCAGATATTAGTTCACAGTATAGGGAAAGGTTCTTACTTATATTGATAGAAGTCATGATGAGGGTACATTCCTCTTCCAGACATACCTCTTTCTTCATATCTTCAAAAATTTCTTTCGGCGTAATAAGGATGGATCATAGCAGAATAAAATTTATTCTTGAAAAAAGGGGTTTTGGGGTTTTGGGGTTTTGGGGTTTTGGGG